CTCCGTGGCTGTTTAATGGGTGCAGCACAAAAACTACTCAACCAGACACAAACCGAGACAGAAAATACTGGAGTTACTATAAATAGTATACTTTTTGAACAGACGGATAGACAGATCGTGCTCAAACTTTCACACATATGCACGCGCATTTGTTTGACAATCCAATTCAAGATGGATGAATGTCGATCATTTTAATTTCAAAAAATCCGTCAAAATCAAGCATTTCTGCTATGTCATTCTCAAATGTTGTTCATACCTGAAGAGGTATCGTTCAACCCTGGTCATACATTAACATAGGGGTACCTTGATTTGTTTTTGTTTTGTTTAATTTGATTCAAACTTTTGTTTTATTAGAGCCATATTTCTGACATGCCAGACTGATTGGAATCAAACTTAACAACATTATACATCATGTTTCACATATTAACATTTGTTTAAGGTTCTGATACAAAATGTCTGACTCATTATGCGTTTGTTTACTATTAAATAGCGGAGTATGTCATGTCATAACATTTTTTTTTGTAATGATTTCATTTTATTCATATTTTCAGGAAACATTTCTCCAAAATCTAGAACACTTTGAAACCTTACGGAAAGGTAGGCGATATGGTGCTTTTTAATTATATACAACGTTAGAATATTTCCTCTATAGTTAAAGTCAGCCAACACGAACGAAAAAGCGTGTTTGTTGACTAAAACTGTAGGCGGTGGACACTCGTAACATGTATATGGTCATTACATTTTAACTACCTTTTACTCTAATGTATAATTTTCAGCCGGTGATCTTCTATTCATGCAAGTCCCCATTGCTGGAAATTGATGGCATGAAATTGGTACAAACCAACGCTATCATTCGGTATATTGCCAGAAAATACGACATGTAAGGTAAAACACTGGAAGAGAAAACAAGGTAAGCTGAGCATACGTTTAATTTTTGAGTTGTGTTTAAAATTCGATAGTTGTAAAGTTTTCCATTCAGGCTATATTCATTAATGTCATCATCAATTTATTGCTTTGCCAACAATATACCTGAGATTACACATAGAGGGAGTAACCACAATCCACAAAAATCATGGTGTGGTCCACGCGCGCTTGGCCATCTTGTAAACCATGTATGTAAAATGACCACACGTGTATTTAAACGTAGTCACTCACTGTTATTCACGTTGATCTTCTAAATCAAACACTGCATACAGAAGAAACATGTCTGTTACAGTATAGATGAACTAAGAACTTAATTTCTTCTGAATATGTGTAAACAATGGCAAGGCCTGGTGTTTGAGCTCAGACATGCAATGAACAGTCTCTAGTAACATTAGTGTATTGGTGATTCGTTCATAGTATGCTATCAATATCACGCTATCAGTATTGGTATATATTAAGATAACGCGTTCAAAATATCCTATATACATGTATTCATGTAAATTGCCTGTATTTCTAAGAGCAGAATTGATAGCTCATTTTAGCGAATAATATATCTAGATCTAAGTGTGACCACCCGCATTCCCCATTTATGAAACCAGTCTCCCGTGTAATAACGAGTTGATTATATACTTTTATGGCAATGCCAACGTGTGTTCACAAAACTCAAATTAATCTCTTAATTGCGTTGATTAGTTGTATATACGACCCTTTCACCTTTATGGACGTTTGTAGTGTATTTTAATCAAGCAATACGGACACGGCTGAATGTAAACAGTCTGCATTTTACTGTAGAATTGATATGCTGAATGAAGGCGCCAGGGACTTTTTACGTCCATTCATAGGCGTTGGATGGGTAACAGCCTCTACTGAAGACGATTTGAAGAAGATACGAGAAAAGATATTACCTAGATATCTACCAATATTTGAAAATGTAAGTATGAGGGTTTCCTGATTTTACTGTTGTTTTACAGATTGCAGTAAATGTATACCAATGTCATTATATTTCTTGTTCTAAGCAGTGTCAATTCTTTAGTTCTGTTGTTGTTTATTCCTAATTCTGTAATAAGTTCGTGACTACTGGACACCATTCGGCAGATTCCAGTTTGAATTAATAAGGCCGGGGGCTTAGGTTGCACACCGTGGCCGGGGTCAGCACCGTCAAAACAACTACTTGGTAGTTAATTGAGTGTCTATTCGGTTGACTTTATCTACCTATCTATGACAATGTATACATCTTAGGAAAACATTTATAATGGTGAAATCCGAGAAGAGGGGGTTAACCGATATGTTTACCTACATGCTTCATCTCAGTATGCGATGTCTGGCGGTATTGCCCAATTATTTTCACAATTTCATAACTTGATGATTACCCTATTTACACAAGCATGATAAATTGTCGTAAGTGACCGAATTTCTTTAAAAAGAAGAATAACTTAAAGATTCTATTGATAAAGTTTCTAAGTACAAATTTAAACTAACAGGAGGTTTCTAGAAGCACATCTGGTTATTTGGTGGGAGACAATATTTCTATGGTGGACCTAACTTTACTGGAGTGCTTGCTGAATTGCGATGATTACATTCCTGGTGTTCTGGACGATTTCCCGAAATTAAAGGTGAGTGTCATTAAATAATGCCAAGTAAAATAATAATTAAAAAAAATCGAAGCGAATCCTAATCCTAATAAAACGAATTCAAAAAAAATTTGTTGAGCAAAGAGGAATTAAAAATAATACATCTAATGCTAAAATAAGGACCCCTACAGAATTACACGAGTGTACGAGTGCAACAATTTATTGATTTAGGATCCCCACCTTTTCCCCTGTGGCTTAAGTTTCTATATCGTCTATAACGTGATAATTAAATAGAAAGATCATGTAAATACAAGAAAAATGACACAAAATACTAATTGTACTGTATACACAATAATTCTAATATTGGACGAAATGTTTAAATAATTGTCGTATGATATTTAAAGCTTTGCATGGTTAATTAGACTTTCACAATATCTTGTACAATTAATTATTTTAAAGAATGTCATTTCGTTTAATATTTTCTGTTTATTCAATCTTTACAAATCTGTCACATATGGATAAATACTTTTGGTGACCTCTGAACTCTAATTATTTTGAAAAGGCACATGTGTATATCAAAATACAACTTCCTATTTTAATCAATGACAACTATTATTGTCATCTTTAGTATTTTAGTACGTCATGCTGATTGGAAGAGAGTCATTCAAATGGAATGGAATAAACAATATACCCCTCAGTTTATGCAAATTAGTTCACTTTATTGGCGTATGTAGTACGACGAACCAGGCAAACACACCATCAAAATTCAAAATGTTGAATATTTACGGTTGCCACGACAATCATAACAATATTTCTAATACAGATAACAACATTTTTAAATATTTTCATTGTACGACGTACGCGCAGAAATGAAGGGCACGATTTGAACTCGTAAACAAACGCGCATATAAAATACTCTTGTCAATAACAACATTGAAACAGGATAAATATTCTCTTTTATGGTAATTATTGACCAGCACTGTTGTGCCAGGTTGAGGTCCCAGATATTTAAATCACTACACTACAAGTAAACTCCCGAATTCGAAATAACAAAAAAATTTAAACTGTAAAATTCGGGCTGCGAATATTCTCTTTAAATATTCCCTTTTATGGTACTATTGACCCAGAACTGTTGTGTCAGATTGAGACCCCATATGTTCAACCACTACAGGTAAACTCCTGAATTCGAAATAACAAAAAATCGGGCTGCGATTCGGAAAATAATTTTCACATCAAAGGGACACATCATATACCACTCAGTTGCAGGTGATAAATGTTTAATGTCTTTTAAATGGGTACTATTTGTGTTTTCAGGCCTTCCAAAACAAGGTTTCGTCATTACCACGGATCAAAGCCTTCCTAGATGGACCGCAAAGAAAAGGAAAAATGACAGAAGAGTATATTCGTCACTGCAAAACTCTGGGAATGAGCGCTAATTAGATAAACACAATGTTCAAATGCCAGTCACATTATTACTCGAATACCCAATACACCTTCCTAATATGTAACGCCCTGTAGGGACAAAGTGCTTCTATGCCGCAAATATTGTTTTACTTTTTAGTATGTTGTATTAATTTTCAATATGGGAATTGCATTTTGACAAACACATTGTGAGTAAACATAAACATTGTACACGTATTGATAGATTAATTGATTAATTTACTTACTAACTGATTGAGAGACTAGCAGGTTGGGTGATTGATGGATTGATCGATTGATTTGTTAAATAAACTGCCGATGTGAAAACGAGAAACGAACATATTTTGTGTGACTATTATTCATTGAATCTATGAGCGTAAACTGAAATCATGTCTGAATGCAATTACGTTATAATCCACAATCGTCATACCGGATTTATTTTAATATTTTACCCACGCGAATTGCACTCTGGTTATTTACATATAATTGATTTATTACATTCGTTATTTTGGAATTGGTTAGGGATCGAATTCATTTCTGCTCATAGTGACATTTGTGTGAAAACGAATTTCATTCCAATTTTGGCTTCGATTCTTACAAAACATTCTGTATCTAACTTTAACATTATATTACAATGAATGAAGGACCATTTATTTACTGATATTTTGAATGAAATATTCTAGTCATAGAAAGAGGATAGTGTTTTGTCGGATTGATTTCTCTTCTTTCAAGCCCTTTGTTTCGTTTCAAGTACTGTTGCCATTGTATTTTTTTCCCTTGAACCCATCACCGCTCCCGCTTTTTTACTCAACAAAACGGGTTGGACTCACGATTTTGGGGGCTAAAACAATTGACTGCAACTTGTTATGCGCACTGTAGTAACAGTGTTTCAGTTTGAAAACGAATAAAACACATCCTGTTGTCGCCTGAAGTTTCATTTACACACATACACAAAACACGCCAATTGTGGATTCGTTCTGTCACACAGGACAACAGTTGTGAAAGCTTCATCTAGAGTTAGAAAAAAGAAAGGAAGGCATTATTATTAAGAAGGAATTGTTGTTTTAAATTATCTACTCGTTTTACCGCCCTCATCGGTAAGATTCGAGAGGTAACATCAAGAACATATACAATTATTGTTACACCTCTATTGGTGTCAATCAAAGATATTGAAAGGTTACTTTTCTTTAACTATTTTATATTTATTTAAAATGATTTATGTAGAAAACATATTTATAAAACAAATTTATATTGTATATTATATTTTCAAAAAACGCATAACGGGTAAATAGAGTGAAAATAACTAAATTTAATCTTTGTATTTCACAATGAACGAAGTAGTACGGGAAATAATTACTTAGTTTTGTTTTCATGTCAGCTATCTATTGTTAATAGGGGATTACTTACTTTCCCCACTTTCTCGTCTTTTTTAGACAGCTGAACAAGCACGTATTCAAACCCACTGACATGTGAGGGCGCACATTAACAAGTCGCTCGAAACAATATTTCAACACTGCTCAAACAACGACCAAATTCAAAATGCTGTAAGATGTTATGAGCGAATATTCTGTTTAAATTAGCTCAGTGGCTCATTCTTGCTTGCTTGCATCAATTAATCATCATACAAATTAACACTGGAACAGGGAAACTGAAGTACACTTAAATTCAACTTTATATTTTAAAGTAAATACCCATAATACAGCGAACAGATCTTAGATGACCAAATATTAAAATCTTGTATGAAATATCTGAAATTATCAGATTAATTGTATTTGCTTTTAAATATACCATATTGTTGGTATTTGTCGAATTGTCGGACTAATGTAATCATATTAGAGCAGAAATATACTAGAGAGATTCGCGTGAATAATGCGTCTGTAATGAAACAAACATTGCCGCGGTGAAGTTAATTTTGTCTTTCAAAATGCTGTTGCGAAACCGCATACGTGTTTGTCATTTCGGCATACATACTTCTTTATTCATACAGTACGTGGTAGTATATTAAGAAATAAAACCAAATAATATCACATAATTGAAAAATGATAGTTACAGTGAAACCAACTGGTCGAGCAACGAACCTTGACACCACTGAGTAAATGGATACTGTCATTGTATAGGCAACTAAAACACGGACACATATGTGTGCTATAGAAATGGGTTTTACTGACCTTCTTACATATTATTTGTAATAACTGCGCATGCGTATATCATAGGCTTGAGATATTGATCAGCATGATTTATCCAGTGTTGTAATTGAACAATTTCGGGAAGATGATTTGCCTTAATAATAGTAATGTCATTCACGAATTGTCATTAATTATTTAATGCAATCATACATTTACGAAATAAGTTGAATATTTTTTACTTTATAGTTGCTAATGTTTAATTCATTTCACGGACGTGTGCGTTGGGGGAAATATGACGTCATTGCAAAATTATTCAGGTCTGACAGAAAACTGTATGAATGGCGTACTACCACAAGCTTTGGACGAATATTCGAAATAATAATCTGTGTTACCTTTCCCTACGTTGACCAACAATAGAGAAGAAGGTCAATTACCAATACATCTGAATAATATATTCATTAAATGACAGTCTTTATTACATTTTAATATAAATCCAATGACGTTGAAAACTGACGTGACAATAAATTTAATAAAGTGGACGATGGTGAATCTGATAAATCGATCGATTGGTTCTTTTCGCCACAAATATGATAAATGTGTGTCTGTTATTCCATCAAGACTAAAATGCGTTTATAAATTTAAGTTTCATCAAATGCATGACAATATAGATGCCGTTTTTAAGACGAAAACACACTTTAACGTATTTAAGACGTTGGCTATTTACTGATAAGCCAGCCCATCGAAAATCTCTAAATTCGTACATTTTACGGGATAATAGTGTTTGATTCTTTCAGTAAATGGTCTTCCTATCACCATAAATAAACCATTGCACTACACTTACAGCTTTCAAATCAAACACAAACGTGCGAACTACAATTACGAAAAAAAAGATCCACCTTTTATGACGATGTAATAAAGGTTGACAAGACGCTAAAGAAAATTTATTGATTGCCATGTTTACAATACATATATATCTGATTAAAATTGTCATTGCCTAAAAAGTGCGATAACCTTTACAACGAGAATTCGTTGTTCATAATTATAGTAATGTACAATTGATGACGTGCGGGTAACGTGGAAACCAGGGTTTGCACTATGTAAAATATTCCAAGGTAATTATCTGCCTATTAAAAGAAATGCACGTATTGTGACAATATAGCAGCTTCCTTGACAACGATTATCCTATTATCCGATTATCTAATTGTATTGAGTACAATATACTTCTATTATCATTATCACCTTGTGACGATTGTAAACTTTTATAGAATTGTGTGATAACTCTTTCAGTTCCAGTTCTTGCTGTATAATGTAGTCAAAAACGGACTGACCCTTGTTATAAATTATTGGGACGAGGAATGTATTACAAAACAGAATGTTGTTGGTGCTAGTGACAATGCTATCAGAGTATCACGTATTGTGTCGGTTGAAGACAATATATTTCAAATTGACGTATATGTGTATTATGACACTGTGTAAACCTTGCTGACAAGGAGACAAATATCTGGAACATGCCAATTACGACATAATACTACTTCGTGGGGGAAAGGCCCATGCACTATCATGTAAAACGTGACGAATCTATATGACATTTCGATTATTCTTATTATAGTCTGCTGTTTAGCAAATTCGTCGATATTGAAGATATATTTAACGATATATTTAATGTCAACGCACATTTCGGTCGTCATGGTAATGTTTAACATTCACTATGGAAAGCACGTATTGTACTATTTAATGGACACTCGAATTCAAAAAGATTGACTCCTTGTATTGAGGCGAAAGGATGTCAATTTTCTTACTCAGCTTCCTGATGTCTATTATCATTTTGTAAAATGGAATTTATCTTCAAATTGCGTAATAAATCAAACATGATTCGTAAATCCAATTGTTCAAGTTCGTGCAAGGCGGGAGTTTGTTGATAAAATAGGACTTAATTAAACTCATCTTTATTTAAAATATATTAAAACTAAAAAAAATCCATGTGACTACTAGTATGTCACATTTATAAAATTTAGAATTCACTGACGTGTTTTTTTTTTTGCGAGCGTTTTGTATCATGAGCATATCCTTAGGATTACGACCGTCACCACACTTCATGGATGTATCGATGAGAGAGACGATGGCAGAACTCAAATTAGAATCTTCGATTAAGTGACCTGATAGGAAAAGTAAAAATACTTTGTAGGCAAAACACAGTGAATTATTGGCTGGGAAATTTTTTTTCAGTTGATATATATTGCGCCTATTTCGAAATACATATCGCTTCCACGTATTCAGGGTGTATTATTCAGTCGTATTGTGAAGCCAATCCATCACGTATATGGCCCACATACATTAGATACTTTAGTGATATGGTGTATGTTTTGTAGTATACCGGTGTCTGCATAGACGGTATTATTTTACATCTGTCACCGTAACGCCATAGGTTATAGCGTGTCGTAATTTTGCGGTATTTTACAGGGTATTTTCATGCTACCATATTAGAAAATGCGAATCCAAAATATGGAATGATTACACACGTAAGCGTCCTCTAATAATAATAAAAACATGGCTGTCACCGGGGTTTGACCGGACTCCACACAAAGAAGTTTGCGGATTCTCGTCTAAACATGTTGGATTTCGGCATTCCCATGATGTATCCTTGGAAGAAAAAGATGTATAATAATAAAGTTATTACGAGGATACCTCAAAAAATGCACGAAGACAGTACGCCGTTGCATCGACCTTCGCTGCGCGTCTGTCGCTACTCCCGCTGTACAGTCTTCGTGCATACCTTGAGGTATCCTCATAATAACCGCATATTATTCTTCGCCTTCTCCCGAAGGTTATAATTGTACGTCAAAACAAAAAGCTTTTACCATATTTTTGTGACGAATTGATTAGGAAATATATATT